CGTCAGATCTGGGTTGGGGTGCACACCTAGGGGAACTGAGAACACAGGGTCTGTGGACGCAGGATGAGATACCCCTCCATAACCACATGAAGGTGCTCAGAGCGGTTTGTCTGGCCTGTCAAACCTTTCATAGAATCATAGAATATTAGGGTTGGAAGAGACCTCAGGAGGTCATCTAGTCCAATCTACTCAAAGCAGGACCAATACCAAATAAATCATCCCAGCCCGGGCTTTGTCAAGCCAGGTCTTAAAAACCTCTAAGGATGGAGATTCTACCACCTCCCTAGGTAACCCATTCCAGTGCTTCACCACCCTCCTCATGAAATAGTGTTTCCTAATATCCAACCTAGACCTCCCCCACTGCAACTTGAGACCATTGCTTCTTGTTCTGTCATCTGCCACCACTGAGAAGAGCCTAGCTCCATCCTCTTTGGAACCCCCTTTCAGGTAGTTGAAGGCTGCTATCAAATCCCCCCTCACTCTTCTCTTCTGCAGACTAAATAACCCCTGTTCCCTCAGCCTCTCCTCATAAGTCATGTGTTCCAGTCCCCTAATCATTTTTGTTGCCCTCCGCTGGACTCTCTTTAATTTGTCCACATCCCTTCTGTAGTGGGGGGACCAAAACTGGACACAATACTCCAGGTGTGGCCTCACCAGTGCCAAATAGAGGGGAATAATCACTTCCCTCGATCTGCTGGAAATGCTCCTACTAATACAGCCCAATATGCCGTTGGCCATCTTGGCAACAAGGGCACACTGCTGACTCATATCCAGCTTCTCATCCACTGTAATCCCCAGATCCTTTTCTGCAGAACTGCTGCCTAGCCATTCGATCCCTAGTCTGTAGTGGTGCATGGGATTCTTCCGTCCTAAGTGCAGGACTCTGCACTTCTCCTTGTTGAACTTCATTAGATTTCTTTTGGCCCAATCCTCCAATTTGTCTAGGTTACTCTGGACCCTATCCCTACCCTCCAGCATATCTACCTCTCCCCCCCCCCAGCTTAGTGTCATCTGCAAACTTGCTGAGGGTGCAATCCACACCATCCTCCAGATCATTAATAAAGATGTTGAACAAAACTGGCCCCAGCACCAACCCCTGGGGCACTCCGCTTGATACCTGCTGCCAATTAGACATCAAGCCGTTGATCACTACCTGTTGAGCCCGACAATCTAGCCAGCTTTCTGTCCACTTTATAGTCCATTCATCCAATCCATACTTCTTTAACTTGGTGGCAAGAATATTGTGGGAGACCGTACCAAAAGCTTTGCTAAAGTCAAGATATATCACATCCACCACTTTTCCCATATCCACACAGCCAGTTATTTCATCATAGAAGGCAATCAGGTTGGTCAGGCATGCCTTGCCCTTGTTGAATCCATGTTGACTGTTCCTGATCACCTTCCTCTCCTCCAAGTGCTTCAAAATGCATTCCTTGAGGACCTGCTCCATGATTTTGCCGGGGAGTGAAGTGAGGCTGACCGGTCTGCAGTTCCCTGGGTTCTCTTTCTTCCCTTTTTAAAATATGGGCATTATATTTGCCTTTTTCCAAGCATCTGGGACCTCCCCCAATTGCCACATGGACTTGTGCACATCCAGCTTTTCTAAATAGTCCTTAACCTGTTCTTTCACCACTGAGGGCTGCTCACCTCCTCCACATACTGTGTTGCCCAGTGGAGCAGTCTGGAAGCTGACCTTGTCTGTGAAGACCAAGGCAAAAAAAGCATTGAGTACTTCAGCTTTTTCCACATCATGTGTCACTAGGTTGCCTCCCCCATTCAGTAAGAGTCTCAGACTTTCCCTGACCTTCTTCTTGTTGCTAACAAGATCCTGCCCATCAGCTCCCTAAGGGAGTCAAAGTCTGCTTTTCTGAAGTCCGGATACGTATTTTGCTACTCTCCTTTCTTCCTTTTGTGAGTATCCTGAACTCAACCATCTCATGGTCACTGCTGCCTAGATTGCCACCCACTTCTACTTCCCCTACCAATTCTTCCCTGTTTGTAAGCAGCAGGTCAAGAGGAGCACGGCCCCTAGTTGGTTCCTCCAGCATTTGTACCAGGAAGTTGTCCCCAACACTCTTCAAAAACTTCCTGGATTGTCTGTGCATTGCTGTATTGCTCTCCCAGCAGATGTCAGGGTGATTTAAGTCCCCCATTAGAACCAAGATCTGTGATCTGGAAACTTCAGTTAGTTGTCCAAAGAAACTTCTGATACGGTGGTCTATAGCACACACCCACCATGACATCACCCTTGTTGCTTTCACGCCACTTTGCAAGGTCACAGCGTGACGGTCCTGACAGACAACACTACCACCATGTTCTACATAAACAAATAGGGCAGAGCTCGCTTCTCAACCCTCTGATGCGAGGCTCTTCTCCTCTGCAACTTCCGTATAGCCCAGTCCATACAGCTGGAAGCATCCTACCTCCCCAGGGTGAGGAACGAGCTGGCAGATCACCTCAACAGGTCCTACCAAGCTCACGAGTGGTCAGTCCGATCAGATGTCCTGCAGTCAGTTTTCCAAAAGTGGGGTTATCCCCAAGTCAATCTATTCGCCACAAAGGACAACAAACAGTGTCCTCGGTTCTGCTCATTTCAAAACCACAGCCCGGGCTCCATCTCTGACGCGTTCCTTAATGCAGTGGGGAGTGGCCCTGAAGTATGCCTTCCCTCCAATCCTGCTGATCCACTGGGTCCTGCTCAAGATACGCAGGGACAGAGCGATGGTGATCCTGCTTGCCCTGTCCTGGCCACGTCAGCGCTGGTACACAACACTCCTGAAACTATCAGTAGATGCCCCAATAGCCCTACCCCTCTATCTGGACTTGATCACTCAGGACCAAGGGTGCCTTCTCCACCCAAACCTACAGTCCCTGCACCCCATGGCTTGGAAGCTCCATGGCTAAACTCGATGGTGAGCCAGTGCTCTCAGCCAGTGAGACAAATACTTCTTGGCTGCAGGAAAACTTCCACAAGGTCAACTTACTTAGCCAAGTGGAAAAGGTTCTCCTACTGGTGTGAACCCAGATGTCTGTTACCGCTCCAGGTATCTATCCTGGTTATTCTGGACTACATGCTTCACCTCAAGCAACAAGGCCTATCACTTCCATCCATCAGAGTACACCTGGTGGCTATCTCAGCTTTCCATCTAGGGAAATCTGGGCACTCGGTATTCTCAAATCCCATGGTGGTGCGTTTCCTCAAGGGATTGGAGAGGGAATACCCTTACTCTCAACCACCAGTACCAACCTGGAATCTGAACCTCTCCAAGCTCATGAGTCCACTGTTTGAGCCACTGGCCACTTGTTCCCACCTTTACTTTTCATGGCAGGTAGCGTTCTTGGTGGCCATTACATTGGTGAGGAGTGTGTCTGAACTAAAGTCTTTCACCTCCAAACCTCCTTATACAGTGTTTCATAAGGACAAGGTGCAATTTAGACCATACCTTAGATTCCTCCCCAAGGTCCACATGGGACAGGACATTTGTCTGCCTGTGATTTTTCCAAAGCCTCAGACGAGCCTGCAGCAGGAGAGCTTGCACACACTAGACGTTCGAAGAACCCTAGCGTTCTACATAGAGCACACAAGGCCTTTTTGCAAACCAACTCAACTGTTCTTGGCCATAGCTGATAGAATGAAGGGCCTTCCAGTATCTTCTCAGCGCATCTCGTCCTGGATCACAGACTGCATTCGCACATGCTATGAGTTGGCTAAGGTCCCAGCTCTGGCAATCACAGCCCATTCGACGAGAGCACAAGCGTCTTTGATCACCTTTCTGGCACGGGTACCCATCCACGAAATCTGCAAAGCAGCTACCTGGTCCTCAGTGCCTACGTTTACAGCCCACTATGCCATCAACCAACAGGCCAGAGATGATACAGAGGTCAGCAGGGCTGTCCTCCAATCAATCATTCCTTGACTCCTACCCACTTCCAATAGTCAGCTTGGAAGTCACCTTACTGGAATGGACATGAACAAGCACTGGAAGAAGAAAAGACGGTTATTTACCTCTGTTAACTGTTGTTCTTTGAGATTTGTTGTTCACGTCCATTACAATACCCGCCCCCCCACCCCTCTGTCAGCGTCAATGGCAAGACGGACCCGAAGAGGGGTCAGGCCAGCAGGGTATTATATACAATGCCATAAGAGCACCACTCTAGGGGGCTCCTCTGCCGTCCCGATGGGAGCTGTTAAGGGAAAAAGTTTCCGATGTCCATGCATGTGACGTGCCCGCACACCTAATTGTAATGGACGTGAACAACACATCTCGAAGAACAACAGTTACGAGAGATAAGTAACCATATTCTCTTGCCTATTCCCAGGTTCTGGCAAGATTGCATGATATAGAAGGAGATAAAAAAATACCCTTCTGGCTGCCATTCTTCTCTGCCTGGGCCTCAAATCTGTGAGTAGGTGCCAGGTTTGGGGCTTTCTGCTGACTCACACCGGTAGCCAGACCAGGTGGGTCTCATTACTTCCACTCAGGAACACCACAGGCTGAGGGCCTCTCTGAGGCAGGACAGAACTAGGAGGGGGGCAGTCCTGAAGGGCCTCTCAGGAAGGAGGTCAGGATACAGTCATATGCTTTATAAGTACAGTCCTGTCTGTTGTTTATTAAGATTAAAGGCAAACTCCAGTCAGAGGGTATGTTTTGGATCAGTGCCCGACAGTGTCATGATGTGCAGACTGCCTGCTCACGAATCTCTGTTCTTTTCTCAGGTCCGGCTAGAGCTGCTGTACAACTCAGTTTTCTGCAGCGCATCCACTTCCAAGGCTAAATACCGGCAGATCCTTGACATCAAAGCCAAGTCCTCCCTGGCCGTGCCATTAGTGATTGTCCCGTTGCAGCTGGGATCTCACGACATTGAGGTCAAGGCAGCGATGTGGGGCAGTTTTGTGTCTGATGGTGTGAAGAAGAAACTGAAGGTTGTGGTGGGTATCAGGTGATGGGGACGTGATGTCCGCTGTAGGGCAAGAGGCTGGAGGCCAGATTGGCTGGCTTCTAGAATCAGTGCTGTTAATTTAACCTGTTAAATTAACACCCTGCATCTCCATCCTCATCCCACTTCCTCCCCTCCTCTGTGGCAACTACAGCAGGGCTGGGGCTGGCTTGGTTATCTTGCACTCGATCCTCTGAGCTGTCATATAAGAGACCTAGGTTCAGTTCCTCAGGCCCAGGGTCTTGCTCCTTGAACCAGTGGGTGCTGGAATCAATGCACCCAGGGAGAACCTCATCTCACTCGGCAGAGAGAGCTGAGCAAAGGAGCAGCATTGGTGGGTTGTGAAAGGCGTCCCACTGGCCTGCCCCAGGAGATCACTGCAATGCTGGGTGAGAGGAAGATCCTCCACTGAAGATCAGGAAGTAGAAAAGTCCTTCAGGGAGGTCACAGAGCAATGATGGAATGAAATTGAGCTTCTCACTTCCTCACCCTGCCAGACTCTGTAGGCCAGATTCATAAGAACATAAGAATGGCCATACTGGGTCAGACCAAAGGTCCATCTAGCCCAGTGTCCTGTCTTCCGACAGTTGCCAATGCCAGGTGCCCCAGAGGGAATGAACAGAACAGGTAATCATCAAGTGATCCTTTTCCTGTCACCCATTCCCAACTTCTGGCAAAAAATTCCTCCCATTCATCTGTGCTGGAATCAGTGGTATTACGCTAAGGATGAATTTGGCCTAGGGACTTCTTGGATGCATCCTAACCAGGATCCAAAACAAAAGGGGAGGCTGTGTGAAGTTGAGGTCAGATTCCAGACTTATTGGGTCGGAGCCTGATCTCAGTTTCACTTGACCGCTGACTTCCAGTGGAGCCACTGCTGATTCATGCTGATCACAAGATCAGCAAGTCGCTCACCTTTTCCTACTGCTCTTCATTGTCTCTGAACGCTACTGTGCTTACTATGCTCTTGTCATTCCTGTCTAGCCTGAAGGGATGAGGATGACCAAAACAATTACATCTGTCATATTGGATCCATCTGCGAAAGGAGCAGGTGAGTAGCCGCACTGCTTTGCCTTTACGTGGGGCCTTTCATCCTGAAGGTCTCAAAGAATTCCACAGTCTATATCTAAGTAAGGCCATCTCTGTTTTTGGAGTCCTTGTATCTAACCCAAACCCTTAATTGAATCTGCAGCAAACTTCCCTGAAAAATTCTATCCTGGCTTTCGATTGTCCGTGGGAGATTTCAGAGGGATTGGTTTCATATTGGCTGAGATGGAGGTCAAAATCAGGCTCATCACAGAAGACGGGAATCAGCAATATGCAGAGCAATTCAGCTGCCACTGAAAAGCAGCCACCTCTGCCTGCCCCGTATTCACAGCTTCCTGATTCCCATCTCAGCTGCCCCCTCCCTCCCTTTGCCCTAGCACATCAGTGGATTGTGCAGGGTTCTCTGAGCATTGTAGAGTATTACTCAAGAACCGGCAGCAAAGCTCAGCCAGCTGGACGGATGGCATTTCACTGTCTCTTCTCCTCGTCCTTCCTTTTCAGGGGGAGTCCAGGAAGTGAGGGTGAAAGCGGCAGATATAGATGACATTGTTCCAGACACAGAATCGGAGACCAAAGTCAGAATCCAAGGCAAGGGCCTCTGATCTGAAAGTGTTTTATGCTTTAGAAACAGAGTGAAGGGAGCAATGAATTCTTCTCTGGTAGCCACACTCGCAGGAGGTAGACCGATTACCCACCTGGTTCTGTTACAACTGTCTACGTGCACTATCGAGCATTAATGGTCAAGATACATCAAAGTCACTGTCGGCGTGTGGCTAAGCAAGGTGCTCATAGGAGAGACAGGTGCACAGAAATAAGGAGCACCCAGAGAGTAGCCTACGTCTTTGGACAGGATGGCCTAGTGGTTTGAGCCCTAGCTTAGTATTTGGGAAGCCTGAGTTCAAGACCTTGCTCTTCCACAGACGTCCCTGGTGACTTTGGGCAGCTTCCTTAGCCTATCTGAGCTTCAGCTCCCCAGCTGTAAAATGTGGATAATAGCCCTTCCTTTGCCCCCATTTAGCTCAACCAGCAAGGGCTGTTGCTTTCAGAATAGGAGTGTCCAGGTTCTATCCCCACCGCTGGCAGGGCTGGAGTGAAGTAGCCTAGGAGGGATTGGTGAGAAATGCTCAGAGTAGTGCGGGGGACCTTGTCAGCACACAGGACCAAGTTCAATTGTTGCTGGGTTAGGATCTGACCTTCATGGACTTTGGGTGTGTTCAGCCCATGGATTGAGCTCTCAATCCGCCACTGCCCACAGAGAGGTCTATCTGTCTCTCTGTCCCCACCAGCACCTGCTCTCCGTGCTTGAATTCATGCCACGTTATTTCCTTGGCCAGGAAACCCCGTGAAAATCATTGTCGAAAACTCCATCGACGGGGCCAACCTGAAGCACCTCATTGTGACGCCATCTGGCTCCGGGGAAGAGAACATGATCGGCATGACCCCCCCCGTCATCGCCACCATCTACCTGGACAGCACCAAGCAGTGGGGAAGGATCGGAGTGGAGCGCAGGGCAGAATCCATCAGGTTGATCACGCAAGGTAAGTACTTCTCATGCCAGACAGCAAATCCCTCTTCAGGCTCGCGTTAGGGACACAGGAACTGCCGCACAGGACCGGCCCCAAGGTCCCTCTAGCCCAGTAGCCTGTCTCAGAAAGTGGCCAGTACCAAATGCTTCAGAAACCTCATGTTAAGCACATTGGGTGACAGATAGAGAGTCCAGGGATCAGGCAGCTAGCCTGGCACACAGGGGACATCAGTTCAGTTCCCTGCCCTGCCACAGACTCCTGGGGTGATGTTGGGCAAGTCACTTAATCTCTCTGTCACTCCATTTCCCCCTGTGCAAACCAGGAGAGTTGCAGTGCCCTGCTGCACAAGGGGGTTGTGAGGATAGACGGCAGGAACTCCGCAAACTCCCACCAGCACCTGGATCGTGGCCCTGCCCCCCCTCTGCCCCTCCCCCCCCTGCTAGGCCCCACCCACACTCCTCCCCAAGGCACCATCCCACTAGGCTTCTTCCCACCGAAGCCTTGAACTTGCTCCACCTCTTCCAGCCCCCATTCTGCCACTCACTTCTCTCTGCCCCCCCCCCGTCACTCACACATAAGGCATGAAAAAGTGGGAGGGGCCATGTCCCCCTGGCCCCCGCTGTTTCAGAACCCCTGGTAGTTACACTGAAGAATGTGAGGCACCCCTGTACTATGGGAATGGGGGCCAGATAAGCCCCTAAAATAGAGAGAGAATCTGCCTCCCACATTAGGTCTCCTACTCCCTTTAGAGGTTGGTTTAAGACCTGAAGCATGAGGTTTAATATCCCTCCCCCAATGTACGTTGGCATTAGTCATGATAACTCTGAATAAACCTTCCTATGCAGACAAATGCCCAACCCCGTTTTCAGTCCTGCTGGGCTTTTGGGCTCCTGTTCATTAACATAAGAACATAAGAATGGTCCTACTGGGTCCGACCAAAGGTCATCTAGCCCAGTATCCTGTCTTCCAGCAGTGGCCAGTGCCAGGTGTCCCCGAGGGAATGAACAGAACATGTAACCATCAAGAGATCCATCCTCTGTTGCTCATTCCCAACTTCTGGCAAACAGAGGCTCAGGACACCATTCCTGCCCATCCTGGCTAGTAGCCATTGATGGACCTACCCTCCATGAATTTATCTAGTTCTTTTTTTAACCCTGTTATGGTCTTGGCCTTCACAACATCCTCTGGCAAGGAGTTCCACAGGTTGACTGTGCGTTGTGTGAAGAAATACTTCATTTTATTTGTTTTAAATCTGCTGCCTATTTGTTTTCATTGCTGGCCTATGCTGTGCGGGGAATGGGATGGTTGTGAGGTGGAGGCCATTCACCCACAGTTCAAATCTGTTTCAGGTTGGCACTTGGTAGTGAGGAAGGATAGAGAATCTCATGACCGTTGAGAGAACTTGGTAGGTTTCAGCCTAGCTCCTGAAGGAACAGGTGTCCCTGTCACTGCACCCCAGGCCCCCTTGTGGGCTGCCTAAATTAGGCGTGGAGTCTGAACTACAAACATCCCATCCCTTAAGCTTTTACAATATGGGGAAACTGAGGCAGACAGTGACTTGCACAACATCACATCACTCAGTGAGTGACAGAACTGAGAACTGAACCCAGGAGTCCTGACTCACAGCACCTTGCTCCAAACACTAACCCACCCTCCCCTCCCGGAGCCTGGTATAGAATCCAGGGATCCTGCCTCCCAGGTCCCCATACACTCTAATCACTTGACCCCCACTCCCACCCTGGAGGGAGGATTCATGGTGGTGAGGAATGGGGCAGTGCCCATGCCAACTGGCTTCACCACCAGACATCTTTCTGCCTTTGCTTCCCTTGAGTTGCTGTGCTGTGTCCCTCCTGAGAGACGCCTGCAGAAAAAGGGGGAGCCACACAACTCGGACGCAGCAGCAGGGGTCACAGTTCTGACTTCGTTTGCCTTACGCATGTAAAGTCCTCATTAGAAGCTCGCCAGACATTGCACAGCTCCTTCGTACTCTCTCTGTTTCAGGTTACACGCAGCAGATGGTTTACAAAAAACCCGACTTCTCATACGCCGCTTACAAAGACCGGCCAGCAAGCACTTGGTGAGGGCAGTGGGTTTTCTAATGCACCTTCTTGATCAGCGTTAGCCTGACCCTACACATGCAATATGTGAGCCAGAGCAAGTCAGTCTCCCGCCCAAAACCAGAGGGCAAAGGTTAACACACACTACAGGAAAAAAGTACCTAATCCAACTCCCACAGATGGCAATGGAAAGACTCCCAAAGATGAGCTAGGCACCTGGCAGGATTTACAAAAGCACCTAAGCAGAGTAGGGGCTTAATTCCCTTTGAAAGTCAATCAGAGTTCAGTGCCTAACTCACTTAGGCACTTCCGTAAATCCTGCTGGGTGCCTATTTGCATCTTTAGGTGCCTAAATGCCTTGTTAATGTGGCCCCCAGTAATTTCAGTGACAGTTCAGTGTGGGCAAGCAGATGGCCTGAGGGATTGGTGATGAATAAGGCGAAGATTTAGTCAGGGGTATTTTTAGTAAAAGTCATGGACAGGCCACAGGCAATAAACAAAAATTCACGGCCCGTGACCTGTCCATGACTTTTACTAAAAATACCCCTTCAGGGTGTCACACCCCTAATTCTTAGCTGCTCCTAGTACGCCGCTGCTCTGGAGGTCCCCGGGGTGCTGCTGCTCTGGGGGTCCCTGGGGCACCGTTGCTCTTGGGGGATCCCTGGGGCTGACAGCTGGCTTCTGCTCCGGCAGCGGGGGCTGACTACATCCGGCTGCCCACTATTCCAAGGCCCCTGGGGACTGCTCTCCAACAGCCGCTGCTCAGACTGCCCCCAGGGTGGCCGCTCGGACTGCTGCTGCTCAGGCAGTCCCCAGGGACGCACCCGGGACTGATGCTCAGGTGGTCCCTGGGACTAGCCACACCAGCCACTGCACCTGTGGAATTCATGGAAAGTCACGGAATCCGCAACCTCCGTGACAGACTCCCAGCCTTAGTAATGAACTCTAGGTCCTTTCACTTTTAGCTGGCTAGTTTGTAGCTGGTTCAGAATAACCATTACCATCTTGACGGCTGTTCACTGGGTTGTGTGAAGTTGAGTTTGATGACGCTCCAGTCCAGTTCCCAGTGGCCAGCTGTCTCCAGCGAGCCCCCAACCCCACAATCCTGGTCATACCACTGCAGGCAGCAAGAGCTCGGCACATCTCAAGCAGAGCCAGCCGTAATAGGGAGCAGTGTCTGGATGCACTTTCCCGGACAAGCGGTGACATTTTCCCGAGCTCCATGCTCACTCAGGTTACCATAAACTGACCCACATGAACCTCCCTCCATTTACTGCTGTGAAACATCTCAACTCATACCTGAGTGCAGACGGTCCAGCTTCCACACTGAGGGCAATTCTGGGAAGGCAGGAGTGACCGTGATGTGATTGATTCTGCCCTCAGGCTGACGGCGTACGTGGCAAAGGTCTTTGCCATGGCTAAGAAACTGGTGTCCATTGAAAACCAAGTTATCTGTGGGGCGGTGAAATGGCTGATCCTGGAAAAGCAGAAACTGGATGGCATCTTCCAAGAAGATGCCCCCGTAATCCACGGAGAGATGGTTGTACGTGTTTCCTTTAACTTTTACACACCAATCACTACCCACCTCAATCATCACAGCAACTTGTTGGTTCATAATTAAAAGAGAGATCCTACTGGGCTACATCTCAAAGTCTGTGCTCACACAGACTGATCTCTCTCTCTCTTCCTCCCATCAGTGGAACAACTCAGTGCAGTTACCTGGGCAGCAGTGAATGGAGATTTAGGCCAATGGGCCAGATTGTATCTATTTAGTTCTTAGTGGACTTCATGGAGTCTTTGGCACTTCTCCCTTTTGGGGGTAAACATTCTGCTGGGGGTAGATCATTTTTGGTTTTGTTACTGTTTGGGGTTTAGGAGTGGAAGGGGGGGTCATTATTGGAGCTAGGGATGTCAGGGTTGGGATTTATGGGTGCCAGGGTTTAGGGCATATCAGTGCTAAGGTTTATTAGGTAAAAGGGGGTGTCAGTGTCAGGCTTTTGGGGGTGTCAGTGTTAGGGTTTAGGGTAGAAGGGGTTGTCAGTGTCGAGGTTTGGGGGTTTCAGTGTCAGGGTTTAAGGTGTAGAAGGGGGTGTCGGTGTCAGGATTTAGGGGGGCATCAGTGGTGTGGTTTAGGGGTCTCAGTGTTAGGGTTTAGGGGTTGAAAGGGGTGTCAGGGTTTAGCAGAGGTACTGGAACTAGAGGTGCGTGGGGTGCTGCAACACCCCCTGGCTTGAAGTGGTTTCCATTATATACAGGGTTACAGTTGGGTCCAATGGCTCTCAGCACCACCACTATAAAAATTGTTCCAGCACCCCTAGGGGTTCAGGGGTGTCAGTGTCTGTGTTTAAGTGGTCTCAGTGTTAGGGGTCTCAGTGTTAGGGTTTAGGGTAGCAGGGGGTGTCCATGTCTGGGTTTAGGGGTGTCCATGTCAGGGTTTATTAGATAGAAGGGGGTGAGGTTAGTGATGTGAGTGTTCTCATGGTGGAAGGACATCTCCAAAGGGGATAGTTTTGCAGCATTTACTAAAGACGCTTAGGCTCTGGCCTGGCCTGATCTCCCCTGGGCATCGGTTCCCCAGCCACTCAACTGAGAATGCCTTGTCCTCGCCTCTCATGCACTTAGTCAGGGGCTTAGTGATTTGCATTGCCCCAGAGGAGCGCAGCTGTCTTGGTGATTCACAGGCCAAAGTTTGGTCTTTGATGTCGCTGGGGTTTGATCCATTAACTGCACAGGAAGCTGCCTGGGGCGGGACCTGAGCACTGGCCTGGTGAGCTAAATTCTCTCACGCTGGTTTAATACAAAGCATCTCTATTGACTTGGATGGAGTTCCTCCACGCTGACAAAGGAGTAGCTGCCATCAGAACCTGGCCCATTGCACGACAGGTGTTCATTAGCCAAAGCGAGGTTCAGCGATAGGTCTGGCCGTGACTGAGAGTCTATTCTTGGGTAGCTTTCTAGGAAGCATGTGTTCTGCTATAATTTCCTATGCTGAGGGCCTGGGATTAATTCTTTCTTTTCATGGTACTCGGGGGACTTTCTTATCCCAAACCTGTCCTTTGCTCCCCTTTAGGGAGGGTACAAGGGTGCTGAGCCTGATGTCTCTTTAACAGCTTTCGTGCTGGTTGCATTGGAAGAGGCCAAGGACATCTGCAAGGATCAAGCCAATGTGAGTATCTCTGCACCGTATATGCACTTCTATGTTCATACCCAGGTTTTCCCATCTTTCCATCCCCTATGAACCACGCCCCGTGGTGTTACGCCTATAAGAAGCACACGGGATCCTTTTCAGGGGAAAAGGCAATACGCCGCATTTATTGAAGATACAACAATTAGCATATGCATTCAATCACACCACACACACACACACACTGTCCCACCAGTCGATGTTATGGTTACTAGTCCACAGTCCGGATCAATCTAGTGGCCAGCTAGGTTGATCACGGGTAGATAGGAGCCAGGTTCTGTCGGTCGCGACCCAATGCTCCAGGGAAGTCTTTGCAGGACGAACCCAAAGTTTCGTGGCACCCTGTTTATATAGGTTTCAGAGTAGCAGCCGTATTAGTCTGTATTCGCAAAAAGAAAAGGAGTACTTGTGGCACCTTAGAGACTAACCAATTTATTTGAGCATAAGCTTTCGTGAGCTACAGCTCACTTCAACCCTAGAATCCTGTTTATATAGTGATTTTCCTTCATTGGGACCAATGAGTTTTGCACCGTCATGCTGTAATCAATTGTTGTTTGACGAGTGCTTGTTTTCTTAAATTGTCCTTCTCATTCTTTCATCAAGTTCCTCAGGGAGTTGTCCCATGCTGGTTTTGATCACAGCTTTCTTGTCCCCATTCATTGGTGCCTGTCTCATCTTTAGAGCCGTCAATCTGCCCTCCTCTGACATTTCACTAGGGGCGTGTTGCAGCCTCCTGGCGCCCTTGTGTCTGTTTCCAGTTCCTCCCTAGACCATCTGGTTCAGCAATGGCCTGCACACTTATCTCTTCTTAACACACACATTCCTCATTCACACACAAAACAGAATTATTTTACACAGAAAATTTTGAACAGGAAAATCAAGTTGCAATGCAAAAGAAAACAATCATGGCATTCTTTTACTTATTTTAAAATGCTAAACCTACAACAAATTGGTGACCCTCAAAGGTCTGTTACTGCCTTAAAATCAGTCCAGACACAAAAAAAAATTCTGGCTGATGCATCTCTACCAATGTATCAGACCATTCCTTTCTGATATTCAAAAAGGGTGGCTGGCAGGATATGGTAAAATCATACATCAATACATTTAATACATGCTACATTATTGTCTCATTATTCTTTATCCTTCATTCTAAATCATACAAAATACAAACATAAAATCCTACTACTATAGTGGCATGTGGAATTTGCTGGGGAAGGAGTTAGTGTCATTGCCAGATAGTCTTCTCTTCCTCGCACACCCGTTGAGGAGCTCAGGTCTCGAATGCCACTGGGACACAGCCTTCAGAGTCCTCCGAGGATCTTGCAAGAGTCTTCCAGGAAAACGAGAGATGCCGGGCTTGGATATTTATCATATAAGAAAACCAGGCAGACAAAAACTATTTAAAATAACATAGAGACCATCTTCATACATTGGAAAGAAGCAATGAATTCTTATTTGGGTTTAGCTTCATGCTATGGTTTAACGGCCTCTCCATCTACAAAAGGAGAGAATATCAGAATATAAGGCTTTCAGAATTACAAGCAGTGCGGGTTTAAGTTTCCTTTTATTATTATAATCATTATTTATACTGAGGTAGCCCCATGGAGCCGCAGTCCGGGACCAGGGATCCCCTTGTGCCAGGTGCTGTACAAACATAGAACCAGAAGACAGTCTCTGCGCCAGAGAGTTTGCAATCTAAGCATGCAGGAATATTAAGGGGAACTGGATAGGTCAGGGGATTAGTTACAGGACATTGATTTACTTATTTAGATTTAAAATCATTTTAAAAAGATGCTTATGCAATGCTCTAGCACAGGGGACTTTTTAATCTGGCCCTCGAGCTTCTGCTGGGGAGTGGGGTCAGGGGCTGCTCCACATGGCTCCCGGAAGCAGTGGTGTGTCCCCCCTCTGGTTTCTATGCATAAGGGCAGCTAGGGGGCTCCGCATGCGCCCCAGCTTCAAGTCCCACCCCCGCAGCTCCCATTGGCTAGGAACTGAGGCCAATGGGAGCTGTGGGGCAGTGCCTTTGGATGGGGCAGCACGCAGAGCTGCCTGGCTGGCAATATGCCTCCACGTAGGAGCCAAAGAGGGGACATGCCGCTGCTTCCAGGAACCGCGCCTGCAAATGGGGCAGCATGCAGAACCGCCTGGCCGCACCTTTGCATAGGAGCTGGAGAAGGGACATGCCGCTGCTTCCAGGAGCAGCTTCAGGTTAGCGCTGCTCAGAGCCTGCACCCTGACCCAGCCCTAATCCCCCTCACGCCCTCTGAACCGCTTGGTTCCAGCCCAAAGCATCCTCCTTCACCCCAAACCCCTCATCCCCAGCCCCACTCCAGAGCCCTCCCCCCACCTGTACCCCAACCCTCTGCCCTAGCCCGACGCCTCCTCCTGTACCCTGAACTCCTCATTTCTGGGCCCACCCTAGAGCCCGCACCCCCAGCTGGAGCCCTCACCCCATCCCGCACCCCACCCCTCAATTTAGTGAGCATTCATGGCCCGTCATACAATTTCCATACCCAGATATGGCTCTCAGGCCAAAAAGTTTGCCCACCCCAGCTCTAGCACCCTGCCACGTCATTAACCACACAGTTACATCCTCGCAGGGTTAAAGTGATCATTTCAGTAGGAACTCAGCTGGCCAGACAGCAACAGAACCTCCTTTCTCCTCCTCATCGTGAGGAGAAGCAAACCCTCAGCCCTCTCCAAGAACCCTATCAAAGAGGTGTCTTTTGCAGCACGCTCAGGTCACCACATTTGAGCTATTTCAGGCCAAGCTGGGGAACAACTTCCAGAGTCCTGGAGCCCTTGTAGAGAACAGCCTGGCAGCTACCCCCTCTCTTTTATAGTGCGGGGGAGCCAGCCGACTGCTTCTGTAGCAGTACAGCATGAGGAGAGAGGCAATCATCTACAGGGTGAAGGCAGCGTGGCCTCGTGGGTAGCGCACTGGTCTAGGTTTCAGACGACTTGAGTTCTCATCCCACGCCTGCTGGGAGACCTCAGGCAAATACCTTTTCTGCTCTGTGCCTCAGTTTTTCTTTCTGTAATTTGGGGCTAACATGACTGACCTCCTTTGTAAAGTGCTGAGGAAAAGTGTGATATAAGAGCTTGGTATTATTAGATCCTGGGCCCTGGTCAAACCAGCACAGGCAGAGACTGACAAGGTGACCACTTCAGCGGTGTTCATTAGCCACCTCCCCCCTCCCCGAGTTTTGTGTTGGTGTCTCATTCTGCTTCTTCTAATGCAACTGGCTCCAGGTTGGCAGCCTCGCCAGAGAGACAACGGACTGAGTGGGACATGGGGCCGACGCTACCCTCTCTCATCCCGGGGAGGCTTGCTTGGCCACTGCACCGTTTGTGGGGCAAAACAGAGGACATCCTCCTCCAGAATTGCCTCCATCTTTCTTCTTCAGGCTTGCCGGTCCTACATTTGCTCCATATGCGCTTTGTCCTCCTGTACACTGTCTGTGCACTATTTTCTTGGTCGTCCTCTTGTTTTCCGCCTGTAAACATTACTCTCAAGGGCCTCCCTAACAGGATTCCCTTCACAAGTGCTGACTTTTATTTTTCCCAGTGGGTGCTTCACCCCCACTCTGCCCTGAGGCCCTGTCCCCAGTCCGCCCACTCCCCTGAGGCCCCGCCCTTGCTCCGCCTCTTCCTGCCTCAAAGTCCCCACCAGGCCGCCGCTCCCTCTTCTCCATCCCCTCCCTCAAGCGCCTCCCAACAGCCGCTTGCTGATCGGCGGCCAGCCGGGGCGGAGCCACGGTGGCTGGTGGGTGCTGAGCACCCCCTATTTTTTTCCATGGGTGCTTGAGCCCCAGAGCACCCACAGCATCCGCACCTATGATTCTCTTCATCCCCTCTTTGTACGGGCCCACCACGTCATCTCATCCTCCTCTCTTGCAGCTTCTGTCTGATACCACAGACCAGGGCCAGATTTAGCGGCAGGCAATCCAGGCGACCGCTTGGGGTGCTGGGCTTTGGGGGGGATGCCGGGCTCGGGGTTTTGTTTTTGTTGTTAGAGACAAAAAGGAAAATTGAATGTTTGAAATAAAATGTTTCCAGTATTCCGTATGTGGATTCATTTTTCACTAACCTCCTAGAATGTTCTGGATATATAAGCTTTGTTTCTATAAGCTTAGAGGAAACAATTTTTTTATTTGCTTATATATGGCATGAATAAATACAGATTTACAGCTCCTAGCATGCAAATTTATCATCTTATATGACAGGGATAAATCATGCATGCGAATCGTGCATCAAAGTTGTGAACTGGGCAACAAATGCAATAAAAAATAAGGCATTCAAAAATTTAACAAATAGAGGGGGGGATACCAAAGATGCTCTGAGGCGCTATTTGGGCTAGGGCCGGCCCTGCCACAGACTTTGGTCTCACTCCTGATGACATTCTGCATGTGGTCCAGAAATGTCCCCTTTCGCTGCCCTCACATATCTCACTTCCACGCCTTTCTGCCTCCTCTGTCTTTCACCAGCACAAAATTCACTGTGATATTAAATAAAGCTGGAAGCCACACAAATTCGTAATGTCTTAATGTAACCCAGACACCTCCTGGGTGTGGTGTTCTGTCCCATCTAGTGATGCTGAGGCCACTTAGAGAGAGATTAATGAGTCTGCTCTAGAGCCTTTTGGGCTTTTAGTTCATGCAGTAGAGGCTCATTCATTTAGCAATGAGTAGAGGTCCCAAGTTCAATCCTACCCCCTGATTGGGCATTAACACCACCCGAAACCTCAGCCTAACTCACGAGTTTGATTTTCTTTTGTTTTCTTTGTCACCTCCTAGAGTTTGGAAGGCAGCATCAGCAAAGCCGCTGACTACTTAGCCCAAAGGTACCAGTCTCTAACCAGACCTTACACTGTGGCTCTTGCTTCCTATGCCTTAGCGATGGTGGGGAAACTGAACACTGAGACGGTGCTCATGAGAGCTTCGAAAGGTAAATCAGGGCATCTTATCAACTATTGGAAAGATGTGGCCAAGTCAGGATGGGGTTTAGGAAAGAGAAGCAAAGGAGGTTGGAGAGGGATTAATTTATGAGGAATGAATAACAGGCATAGATTTGTTCCTTTTGGCCAGATTTTAGATTGATCAGCCTGGGTGTAAATCCAGAGTAACTCTCCTGGGTTGAGTGGAGTTACTCCAGATTTACACCAATGTGTCTGAGATCTGGATGTGGCAGAGATATATGGTATTACTTGACCTCAGGAGGAAGCTGAGAGCCCTGTATATATATCTAAAGCCCTGTATATATATCTGTATATATATCTATATATATATGTAAACCCCAAAGAGAAAGAGAGAGAAGAGGGTGGGTCAAGAGGATGTAACTGGATGAAACTGAGCAAAGGAGAATTTCAGAGGATATAGAACAATATTACCCACAAGGAAAATGGAGTTTGCCCCATTGTTTGGGATGGTTAAAACAGGGCAGGACAAAGCTGTTGACTAGATATAACAGTGTTATGTTGAAAGGTGCCAGGTGGGTCTTTGATCCCAAAACAGTCACAGACCTTGGCCATGTCTACAATGCAGGGACTATAGCGGCACAGCTACGGCGCCGCAGCTATGCCGGTATAACCCCATATTGTGGACGCAGACTGCACCGATGGAAGGGGTTTTCCGTCTCTGTAGGAACACCACCACCATGATCAATGGTAGCTAGGTCAACTGAAGCATTTTTCCATTGACTTCATAGAATCATAGAATATCAGGCTTGGAAGGGACCTCAGGAGGTCATCTAGTCCAACCCCCCTGCTCAAAGCAGGACCAATCCCCAACTAAATCAGACTTAACTGTGTCTGCACTAGGGGTTAGTTTGGTATAGCTATAGCACTCCAGAAGGGGGTGTGTGCGAAGATTTTTCACATGCCCCAAGTGACACATCTATGACAACCTAAGTTTTAAGTACTAACCAATTTATTTTGAGCATAAGCTTTCGTGAGCTCACTTCATCGGATGCATACTGTGGAAAATACAGAAGATGTTCTTATACAGACAAACCATGAAAAAATGGGTGTTTACCACTACAAAAGGTTTTCTCTCCCCCCACCCCACTCTCCTGCTGGTAATAGCTTATCTAAAGTGATCACTCTCCTTACAAGGTGTATGATAATCAAGGTGGGCCATTTCCAGCACAAATCCAGGGTTTAACAAGAACGTCTGAGGAACGGAGCGGGGGGTGGGAGGGGAGGAAAAACAAGGGGAAATAGGTTACCTTGCATAATGACTTAGCCACTCCCAGTCTCTATTCAAGCCTAAGTTAATTGTATCCAATTTGCAAATGAATTCCAATTCAACAGTCTCTCGCTGGAGTCTGGTTTTGAAGTTTTTCTGTTGTAATATCGCAACTTTCATGTCTGTAATCGCGTGACCAGAGAGAATGAAGTGTTCTCCGACTGGTTTATGAATGTTATAATTCTTGACATCTGATTTGTGTCCATTAAAGTTTTAAGTGTAGACCAGGCCCTTGTTCAAGTTAATGGATGTGCCAGGCACTCTTTCAGACTCAGCGGAAGGAGCAATCAAGACTCTTTCTGTAGTAGACACGGCTAAAAACAATGTAGCACAGCAAGGTCAAGAGCTAAGCCATGTGGGCTGAGGGGTTTCCCTGATTACAAACGCAGGGGCTAGTATGTTCGTTTTGCACCCTGTGCGTTAGAGGCAGAAACAGGCTGAAAGCCTGGAGAAGTATTATGAAAGGAAGCAGAGAGACATTGCTTGTTGGGCCTAGAACTCACTTCAGAGGCGGACTTGGGGATTTCTCAGCAAGGAGGTTGCCTGCTGTTGGTTTCTCTTATGCTCTTATTTCTCTCTCTGCATTTTCGTAAGCAATCAGGTTTAAAGCAGAGAAGGTATCTGAGGCCTATGATCAATTCCTCATTGTAATTGAAACAATCCTCCAAGACCCCAAATATTGGGTAGCTGCTCAGCTCGAAAGGGGCAACAATCGGTTTGACTTACCAATCATCCGTGCAGAAAGTTGGGGAAGGAGTCAGGCAATGGTATGGCCCAGTCAGATCTGCTCAGAATGAGTGGATGTCCTGGGGAAGAGTCCTTTAGCGCGCCTTCTTTGCTGCTGCCTAGAGGGAAATCGCTGGGAAGAGCCAAACGCCCGCACCTTCAACATTGAGGGCACCTCGTACGCCTTGCTGGCCTTGCTGAAAATGAAGAAGTATGAGTTGACCGGTCCCATAGTCAAATGGCTGAGAGAGCAGAACTACTACGGAGGGGGATATGGATCTACCCAAGTGAGTATGATCCTTATAGCCCAGGGTATCCTTCCAAGACTGTGTTTTGTGGGAAGGTCTCCCCTCGGAAAAGATGGGATTCCGATCACTTGAGTCATTGTAGAAAGCCCTGGAGAATGACCAGTAGAGAACAATCCTGCATTGCCTGGGAGATGGGCAACGTGACCTATCAGGTCGTTGCCATTGTTAACCTAAGGCAGAGACCAGCATAGGAGCATGACTGAATCTTCTCACTTGAGGCTCCATCCTGCCAAGGTGATGGGTGCAAGCATGCTTCACTTTAAGACAGCAGGTTGTCCCCGGGGAGTCAATGGGCCTTCTCTTCTCATGGGCAGAAGCGCATGGGCGTCTGGACTCATTCTAGCATTTGTTTGTTTTTTGGCCGTTGGTCTGGAGACAGGGTACCAGGCGTGTAGGACCAACGGTCTGAGTCCATATGACAAAGCCAGGGTGGATCATGACTAATATGAATCGATTTGGGTTTAATCCATCTCTAAGTAGAACTGTAAGGTTATGGGTTTTTGGATTCTTTTTTTTAAACTGTGCTTACACAAGCCACTGGAGAGGATAAAAACCCTACTGCTAGTGGCAGCTAAATAAAGATGGATTGTCCTCAGATATCGCTCCCTTCCCTGGAGTACGGGGGCCACTAGGAACTATAGGGTCTGTCTGTGTCCAGCAGCCTCAGTAGAGAAGCCCCTTTACATTCCTTGCTACTGAGTCTTGTCTTTTCTCTACCTAAAAGGATGCTACAAGCTCTGCTGGGAGTGGTCTGTATTTTTGGAGTCACGGGCAGCGTGTTCTATCCCTAACGCTGTGCTGTGTGTGCCATACATGTCTCTATATATGTAACCCACACACCTCCTGAGTGTGATGTTCGGTCCCCTCCAGTGGCACCGAGATCACTTAGAGAGAGAGATTAATGTGTCTTCTACAGCCTTAGTTAAGGGCCACATGGCTTTTAGCTCATGCAGTAGAGGCTCATGCATTTAGCAAGAGGTTCCACGTTTGAGTCCCTGACAAGCCCCCACTTGTAATACCGATAGACCCCGGTCGTCGGTGGGCGGGATCGAACTTGGGATCTCTGGAGCTAAATGCATGAGCCTCTCCTACATGAGCTAAAAGCCACATGGGGCTTAGCTAAGGCTGTACAGCACACTCATTAATCTCTCTCGCTAAGTGGTCTCGGTGCCACCAGGAGGTGTGTGGGGTACATACACATAGAAGGAGCCACTATCTTGTTGTGCTCTGTCCAGGTGACAATTGGCCCCTGTTAATAGCTAGGGGAGATGGGAAACTAATTGACCATGCACGATTTACTTATTGACCATGGGTTCTATTCCTGGCTTGGCCACGTGCTTCCTGGGTGACCCTGGGAAAGCTACTTCCCTGCCCTGTGCCTCCGTTTCCCCATCTGTAAAATGGGGTTAAAGATATTGTACTGTTTTGTAAAGTGCTTGGAGATCTACTGATGAAACATACTACAGAGGAGCCAGGTAATATTATTATATAACCCTTTGCCTGTGTGACACCCAGTGGAACCCTGGTGTTTTCTTTCATTGTATTTTTGGTTCCTCTTCATTAAAGAGTCTCTTTAGAAGCTGTCAGATGTCCAGCACAATAGGACAATAAGGTGTAACCCTCTTGTCTTCCTCCTGGTGTTCTAGGCTACCATCATGGTGTTCCAGGCTCTTGCGCAGTACCAGATAGACATTCCGCAGCACAAAGACCTGAATTTGGACGTTTCTATTCTCCTGCGGCACCATGCTAGTCCGATAAAGTACAGAATCTTAAATCACAACGCTCTGGTGGCCAGAACAGCAGAGGTATCATGCTTCTCTGTGTGATTAGTAGAGACCACTGATCATAGCGAAAGGGGATTTGACTAGAATCTCCTATCCAAACCCTTTGGGGAGTGGGAGGGGGATTCAGATTCCTGGCACCAGCTCCAAATGCATCCACACTTTTGACTCAGATTTTTAAGACCAGAAGGGACCATTATGATCATCTCGTCTGACCTTCAGCAGGTCAGAGGCCGGAGAACCTCACTTACTAATTTCTGCATCAAGCCCATAACTTCTAGCTGAGCTGTGAGATGTCTCTTAGATAGATATCCAGCCTTGACTGAAAGACTTCAAGTGATGGAGAATCCACCACATCCTGTCAGGCTCTAGGGTCTAGGCAGTCAGGCCTGGTGGTTGGAGCTGGCTGTAGAGTTGGGACTGGGCCAAGGGCAATGCTGAAATCAGGGTCTGGGGACAGGCCGTGGGTCAGAGGGGGGGGGGGGGGGGGGGGGGGGGGGGGGGGGGGGGGGGGGTAGGGGGGGAAGGAGAGGGGAGGGGGGTGAAGGGGGGGGAAAGGGGGGGGGGGGGGAGGATGGTGAGGGAGGCCAGAGCTGGGAATTGTATTGGGAGGAAGGTCCCTGGCCAACTAGTGGTGTTATGCAGAGTAACTCGCAGCTCTGATGGGGACAGTAAAATACTTGTGCCTGGGGGTTATCTGGCCCAGGGCCTGACCAGGGATTGTCACTGCAGGCTCTGTTGGAGGGGTGAGTCACCGCAGCTGAGTGAGCAGCCCTGGGCTGGCTGGGGTTTGCCTCACACATCCCGAGGTAAATTGTTCCAGGGTTAGTGACCTGGACTGTGTGGTTTTGAGCTGAATCCAGAAGTAGGAGGGGATGGGTTGCTTTAGGCTTGGCTCTGGAGAAGCAATACGTCTGGAGATCAAAGAGTTACTGCCTGGTAAGTAACCTTTTTTCTCCTTCATGCTAATGCCTCTGCAGAGTCCCCCCAGCCCCTCTGGGCGAGTGGCTGTCAATCTCACCAGCTTCATTTTCTTCATTAGCTTCATTTGCCCTGTCTTTAAATCATCATAATAATAATGAACTATAAAAGAAAATTAACCTTGGATCAACTTTACAGACCAAATGGAATGAAGACTTCACTGTGAAGGCAGAAGGAACTGGACAAGCGACCTTAACCGTAATGATAATTTATAACGCAAAGCTACGGGAGGATGAATCTCAGTGTAAGAAGTTTGACCTGAGGGTATCGGTCGAAGAAGCCCGGGGTGGTAAGTAACCGCCCGTCTTTTCTCTTCTGAAGCTTGCTGTCAATCCTCAGATCTGGACAAATTTGGCTCAGTTACACCAGTTTAACTCCATGGACAGCAGCGGATTTACACCAACCAACCACCATCTCTGCAATCACATTCTTAACTTTGGAAAGTATTTTTGTGAAGCTCCTTCAAACTCTCCCAGTTCCCAAGTCCTACAAAATTATACCCATAGGGCAGACACTAAATTATTACAGCTACCACATGTTCTAGGTTGCAACTAATGCAGGGTCATTCCAGATAAGGGAGCAGATGCTGCCTTCTCTCATCATGGCACTTGTTAGCAGCAGAGTTGGAGCATCGGATGTGGATGGGAACACAGGCCAGCTACTCTGGATATTGTCTCCCTCTGAAGTAGAGATGAGCCCATGGCAGGGAGTCTGGTTAGAGTCCCAGACTTCCAGTGAACACATTTCCAGACAGCATGGGGGTGAAATCAGCATGGGACAGAAGGCAGGATCTTCAGCACCCAAAACACAAGCCTCTGCGGCTTGGTCTAAAGGAGCAATTTCCTTGAGCTGGGAGTAGCTGATTGTTAGAGTTGCTAGGGCTGGCCAGTAGAGGGAGCCATGACCACACATCAGGCCAGCATATGATAGAGGGATCCAGGATTTTGGCACCTCTTGTTACAGAAACAGGAGCCAGCAGTACATTGTTCTGAACTTTCCCACCTGTCCAAGTTCACACCCACGGGTTCTCTCTGTTTCGGTCTCCTCTTTCTGCTAACTCTAGACCATATTTTGTTTGTGCCACCCAGCTGGGAGAGGCTTTTTAGTTTGCGTTCCCGGGATGGGAAGAGTTATTTATGGATTGCTGGAAGGGAGGGGAGGTTTATTGAGGGATTTTTCACACCTACTGTAGGACCTGTTTGATTACTAAGCCATGTTAGTGCACCTAAAAAACAAAAGAGGGTTATTCTGGCATGAAATTTACACTGAGATATTAATTTCTTTTCTCTTCTGCAATGTTTCTAGTTAAGAAGCCGGAAGGAGCAATGCGTTCAGTCTATATTAAAATCTGCATCAGGTGAGAACAATGCCCTTTAACGATAGATGATAAATAGATGGATAGATGCAGTGGGTAGATGGACAGATGCAGGGGGTAGCTGGAGAATCCTGGGCTATGAATTTTTCTATGGAATTGCCAAAAAAGTTATGATAAAGCAACAGGAGCTGGTGGAGCGATCGCAAAATCAATGTTCAAGTGATGAATTCTGATCAAAAGGGTATTTTCTCTTCCCCTCGTTAGGTTCCTCGGTGTGGTTGATGCCACAATGTCCATCATCGATGTCTCCATGCTCACTGGCTTCTCACCAGACGTGGAGGATCTTAAGAGAGTACGTCAGTGTAATCTGAGAACAGGGAACGTAATAAACAATGCAGTGGTTTGGCTGGGGCTTTCAGATAAAAAATCCAAGGCACCAGGTGAATAGTCAGGCTCCAGGGTTAAACCTGGAGGGAGACCAGATGGCTCTAAGGATTGGTAACAGCTTTAGGAAACCGCAACCAGTTCTCTCCATCTTGAGGATGGAATGTCATCTCCCTTGGGCAGTTTTTGGGGGCCTTTTTGGGACTCAGCTCAGTTTCCTTGGGGATGGGTGTTCACATCTCTGTAACCAGCACCACAATTGGTGGGCCCTTTGTTGGCATTCATAGAGGAGATGCCAGGGGATGAATAGGCTATGAGCCTAACGTCCAAATTCACACACACAATCAGGGACCGGGGCAAGTTTTGCAAGTTGCGCCGGCTGCTTTGAAAATCTGGCAATACAAATCTAGGTCAGTTCAATCCTGCTTTATTGGATAGCAGATTGAGGGGCTGCTGTCATTTGACTGTGCATGCCAGAGCAGACTGCATTTGATACAGTCTCTTGTACAGTGGGGCCAGAATTTAAAAAAAATGGCTTCCCTTTAGACCCTCTGACCTACACGGTGAGGAGTTATTTGGGCCAGGAGAACCGTGGATATAGAAAAAGAGGCTGCACAAAAAAGCCAGGCCCCGAAGGAGTCACTGCAGTGAATTGCTGCCCTGGTATAAAATGAGGGTGGATTATTAGGCAAACAAACCCAGGGATGTTTCCAGCATTGGTGTTCTCCTCCTGCAGCTGCATAAAATCAGCCAGAATGCCAAACCAGAACCATAGTGTGCCCAGAGTTGCTGCTTGGCTTGTACTGAGCATGCTCAGTAACATCTACTGACACTGCTGCCCCCAGTGGCACTGCTCCACCCCCCTCCACCCCCTCCCCCCCATCTGCAGGTCTGGGTCATCTCTGGCTGTGTACGCAGTGCTTCATGTGTGCCAGGGCTGAGCCCCGGCACCTCTGGGCCTGGCAGTTCGTAGCCCCGGCACCTCTGGGCTTGCTGCGTCAGTATGAAAGTAAAAAAGAAATAAATAAATTGCTTGAGCCCCGGCACCTCTTTCATTACAAATGTAGGCACTGTGCATACGGACACTGTGGTCACCGAACCTGGGACCTTTATCATGGAAAGCTCAACTTTTTCAGCGAGAGTACCAGCTCCGTTAGCTGTGGATAGAGTTGCCAACTTTCTAATCACACAAAACCGAAGACCCTTGCCCCGCCCCGTCCCTGAGGCCCCCCCCCGCCTCGTCCCTTCTCCAACATATCGCCCCCTGCTCACTCCATCCCCCCTCCCTCTGTCGCTCACTCTCCCACACCCTCACTCACTTTCACCGGGCTGGGGCAGGTGGTTGTGGTGCAGGAGGGGGCAAGGGCTCCGGCTGGGGATGTGGGCTCTAGGGTGGGGCCGGGGATGAGGGTTTTGAGGTGCAGGAGTGGGTCCGGGCTGGGGCCAAGGGGATTGGAGTGTGGGAGCGGGCTCAGGGCTGGGGCAAGGGGTTGGGGTGCACGAGGAGGTTCATGGTGCGGGCTCCAGCCAGGCAGCACTTACCTCAGATGGCTCCTGGAAGCAGTGACATGTCCCTCCGGCTCCTAGGCAGAGGGGCCAGGGGGCTCTGCGCACTGCCTGCAGCCGCAGGCACCGCCCCTGCAGCTCCCATTGGCCGCGGTTCCTGGCCAATGGGAGCTGCGGAGCTGGTGCTCGGGGTGGGGTCAGTGCGCTGAGCCCTTGTGGCCGCTCCTGCGCCTAAGAGTCGAACATGCCGGCCGCTTCCGGGAGCTGTGCGGAGCCAGACAGGCAGGAAGCCTGCCTTATCCCCATTGTGCTGCTGACCGGAGCTGCCAGGGTCCCTTTTCGACCAGGTGTTCTGCCTGAAAACCAGATACCTGACAACCCTAGCTGTTGAGTAAGTAGCAGGCTAGTATCCTCCATGCAGATCCTCTCATGGGAGACGTGATCACAAGCATGACACCACTGAGTCACGTAGGTGAGATGATGGATTTTTTTCACCCAGCTGCAGGACTTTCACAGAGACGGTGCCTTACCCACAATGCCTCTTGCTTTTCCTTCTTCACATTTAGCTTTCCCAAGGGGTCGACAGATACATTTCCAAGTTTGAAATCGACAAAGCCCTGTCCGACAGAGGCAACCTCATGATCTACCTGGACAAGGTAAAGACTCGACAAGGAGCTTCTCTGATTCTGTGTTCATTTCATGGGCCCCTGCTGAGCCAAACTGCATTCCCAGATACACCCTGGCATCCCCGCAGACGTCAGCAAGTTGACAAACTGCAACCCCTGGCTGAATTTGACTCACTGGCCCAGATTCAGGCTTTCCACTAGGAACAACTGAATGGTCCAGATCCTCAGCTGGTGTACGTGGATGTAGGTCCATTGACTTCAGTGGGAAATACAGCATCTGACATTAAGGTTGAATTTGCTTCTCTGTGTCATTCACTTCTTCTTTCCTTGCTCCTTTCACTTCTCTAGTTCTTCTTTCCTCCATCTGCCTCACTTTCTCTTTGCCCTCTTCTTTCCCCAACATCTCCCTTTCTTTTATTCTTTTTCATTCTCTCTTTTCCATCCAGCCACCCTTCGGCCTAAGCAATCCTGTTATTTCCCCCCCACCAGGTTTCGCACAGAGAGGATGAATGCCTGCAGTTTAAAGCTCACCAGTTTTTCGAAGTTGGTCTCATTCAGCCGGCATCCGTCACAGTCTATGACTATTACACCATAGGTAACAGATCGCAGCTCTCCTCACCACTAAAGGCACCATGGCTTCAAATTCTGCTCTGGGTTACATTGGTGTCATTACTTCTTGCAGTCTCTTGCTGAAATACTTGGTTATCATTATCCCCATGTAACAGAGGGGATGCACTGAGATGTTAAGAGATTTGCCCTCAGGTAAGCCCTAGACAGTTAGTAGCACAGCTGGGAGCAGATTGCCAATTCAGAGCTCTAAGTACAGCTTCCGCATACACAGTCCCCTCCCACCACTGGAAATAGAACCCAGGCGTCCTGAATCCCAATCTCCTGCTCTACACTAGCTCACACTCCCGTCTCTACTTTCCCAGATTACTGTACCCCTTTCAGGAGTCTGATTTGTCGTGCATGCCCCAAGTTTCACCTCACTTAAAAATGACTTGCTTACAAAATCAGACATAAAAATACAAAAGTGTCCCAGCCACACTAGTACTGACAAATTGCTGACTTTCTCATTTTTTACCATATAATCATATATAAATCAATTGGAATGGAGATATTGGACTTACAATTCAGTGTGAGACCTGAGCCTTTTTTGGCTTGTGAGCCTTGTCATTCGGCGGCTGGAGAGCGGCAGCTGCTGGCCAGGTTCCCAGCTCTCAAGGCAACGCCGCCACCAGCAGCAGCGCAGAAGTTAGGGTGGCATGATCTGATTTTGCTACCCTTACTTGTGCGCTGCCCTTCCGTGCTGAGCGGCCAGAGAGCGGCGGCTGCTGGCTGGGGAGTTCCTGTTCTTTGTGGTGAATGAGGACGATTTTTTCAATCCTGCTCCCACCCCGCCCCACAGTCTCTACTCCCACTCCCACCCGCTCCTGCATTGTTTGTTGAATTTTTATCCCACTCCCGCTATTACGGCAGCGGGACCTGTGGGATCCCAGTCCTGCTGCAGGGCTCTAGAGCCTGTTGTAAAACTAGGCAAATATCTAGATAAGTGAACATACCCCCTGGGGTACTGCTAGGGTATGTGTCGCCCTGGTTGAGAACTCCTGGATTAGAACTCAGGGGTTTCAGACTCATAGACTTTAAGGCCAGAGGGGACCATCCTGATCATCTAGTCTGACTTCCTGCCCACCTCCCAGTTCCTCCTGTTCTAACATTACCTCATGCTGGAAATATGTGGTCACACTCATCACCTTAACGCACCCATGCAAAGGTAGGCAAAATAATAAGGGGAACCTCTGACTACAGGCAATAATGATCCTACTGGCCCTCTCCCCGCATTTTACCTCCAGAGGTGGATTTGCTGCTAGCATGATTAAGAGGGTGTCTCCAACAAGCACCAGCCCATCATTTCAAGTTGATGGTTTCCTATAGCTAAGAAAAGTTGTTCCCACAGACTGCTGCTCCCTTCCCCAGGGTCACCCAGTGGGACTTCTGCTTGAGTAAGGGCTCAGGGTTGTCTCCCAGGTGCTGTAAATCATGGCCGTTGTTCTGCGGGAGGGGTAGTAATCCGTGTCTCTGATCTTTCTCTAGATGACCGGTGCACTAAGTTCTACCACCCGTCTAAGCAGAGCGGGCTCTTCAATAAGCTCTGTCACGGGGAAGTCTGCCGGTGTGCAGAAAGTAAGGAGAATTCTGTCTCTGCTTACATCTCTGGTGGGGGCTCCCCTGTCAGCTTTACCAGCAAACATGCAGTCCCAGGGCCCCCCAGCATCAGCCCCTCAGTCGCTCATCAGGGCTTCTCCTTCCCTATGGGCTCTGGATGATTCTCACATATGATACAGGCTCACGGCAGCCACAGGCAGGATGGTCCCTGGGTTTGTCCCCCAGCCTGGAGTTCTGACTCTTGGCCAGCTGTGTCCCTGCTACAGCACCACCACATACAGGAATGGTGGGACCAGGGTCGGGATGAGGGCGCCCTCAGTGGAAATATGTGGGGGATGCACCCCCACATAAAGTCATGCACGCCTGGGGAAGGCAGGCAAGAGAGGAACCAGAAGGGACTGCAGGGCCTGGGATTGGGCCAGGGAGTGGAACCCAGAGGGGCTGGAATGGGCCTTGGAGGAGGTAGGAATCCCCGGGACCCACCTTCCCAGCCTGAAACCTGCCCCTCACCACTGCAGAGTCTCAATATCTTCCTTCACTCCTCTCCTATCCCTCCTCCCCTGCATTCAGAAAGGGTTTCCACCCTCCCTGACCACCTACCCTCACCTGTGGTCCCTCCTTCTCTTCTCCAATGGCAACCCCACCCGCCAATCACATGCGAGAGCTGGCAGCAGGACGTAGAAGCAGAATTTCTCTTGTCGGCTGGATGACCGGGAGGGAGCAGGGTATTGGAGAAGTCAGTTCCTCCTCTCTGCCCATCAGGGCCCTGGGGGCTGGGCTAAGCCAGCTGATCCATGGAGTGGGGCTGCACACATTGAAGCAGGGCAGTCTGGGATGCAGGGAGTTGCTGGGTTTCCAGCCATTCCAATGGGGATGCTCCTCCCTGGTTATGAAACTTCCGTGGAAACATACCAGCTGTTTCAATGGTTGGAATCCGGCCTGGGGGGTAGTGACATGAAGTCAGGCACTTCTTTAAAATATCTGGGTCCTCTCATTCCAGGATGCCCACAGCTGGCACCCCTCAGCCCCCTGCTGTCAGTTTCAGCACAGAGGCCAAGTATTGGATGAGCCATGAAGGCTCCACTCCCTGCTGACTCTTAGGAAGGGATCCTCTAGAAGAGGGTGGAGACCCACTGGTGGGGCCCTTGTTCAGTGGGGAACTTGCTGTAGCCCTGCAGTCTGCCAGGCATACAGAGAGGTATTCAGTCTCCAGATCTGTCGTTCCCATCACCTTTGATTTCCCATCTGCAGCTCCACTAAGTCCCGAGACAAGGCTCCTCCTGGCACTGACCCAGGTAGATATCCACCAGTGCAGAGAGGGAAGATAGCTGAGATTGCCAGGCCTATTTATGGTCCTTGGTTATTTCATATATCCAGAAAGAGTTCCTCTGGGCAACATCTACTGATTCCTTTGCAGAACTGTCTGAGTCTGTCGGCTCAGGATCGCCTCATTTAGACCCTGCAACCTACCTCTCCATCCCTTGTTTCTTCTTTTACTGTGCCCCATAACACAGGTGCTGACTTTTATTTTTCCTGGTGGGTGCTCCACCCCCACTCCGCCCCTTCCCCTAAGACCCCACCCTAGCTCTGCCACTTCCTGTCCCCGCTCTGCCCCTTCCCCCAAGATCCCCTGCCCGCTGTTCTCTGCCGAATGCCTCCTGCCAGCCGCCAAACAGCTGATCTGCAGCCCCGCCAAATGGCTGTGGCTGATGGGTGCTGAGCACCTGCTATTTTTGTTCCATGGGTGCTTGAGCCCCGGAGCACCCACGGCGTTGGCGCCTATGCCCCATAACGTGATGGGTGGTTGGCTTCATGGCCACTCCCTTGTCGGAGGAGGTGGGCCTGTCACTGTCTGGACTAGCATGGCTCACCCAGGATTCAAATAGGTGGGCACCTGTGGGTCACTAATAGCAGAGCTGAAACTATGGTCTCCCTTGGTGATTCTCTACCCCATCCTCCTTCCCCATAGAAAACTGCTTCATGCAGCAGAAGATAGAGGGTCCCATCACCCTGAACAAACGAATGGAGGAAGCCTGCGAACCTGGAGTGGATTATGGTAAATCTGTGATTTGGATCTGCTGAGTCTTTTTCCATGAGGAGAGCGCAGAGACAGGGTTCAGAATTTGATTTGGATTGTAAAGTTTTCCCTTGAGGCTGAATCAGGGGTAAGGTCAGAAGCCAGAAACCTGTTAAGGTTTCTGAGGCAGAAACCTGATGAGATTTTGGGGCCTTAAACTCCCAGAAATGAACAAGATCAGATGACTGTTGAAGATTCAATCTAACCCTAAGTATTTATCTGCCCCCCCACTTCCCTAGTATCTGAGCACTTCACAATCTTTAACGTGTTCATCCTCACAACCTCCTGTGAGGCAGGGCAGTGCTGTTATCCCCATTGTACAAAAGGGGAAACTGAGGCATGGAGTGACTAAGTGACTTGCCCAAGGTCACGGAGCAAGTCTGTGGTGGAGCAGAGAAATGAACCCCGGTCTCCAGCTAACGCCCACACCATGGGACCATCTTTCTCACAGCCAGTTTTGGGAGTCAGTTACACACTGAATTCTCCACAGAAAAGTACTGCAGACCTTCAACTGGTGTTTTGTATGTCTTCCTTTTTTTAAAGTGTATAAAACCAAGCTTGTTAGAACTGAAGAAGTGGGCAGTTCTGACTACTACATCATGGAAATTTTGGAAATCATTAAAGTAGGTAAGAGCTCCCCTTCTAAAATCAGGGTGCAATTTCTTTGAATGGCCTTTGGGATAAAGGCCTGTAATTGCGCGATAAATGCCTGTTAGTCTTTAAAAGAAAAGGAGTACTAGTGGCACCTTAGAGACTAACCAATTCATAAGAGCTATTTCTCTTCTCCAGAGGAAGTGCTAAAGCAAGGCTAATCTAGTCTCTTTTGCTCCCCAAGCGGCATTAACCTTAATGCCACTGGGGAGAATGAATTTGCTCAACCCACTGAGGCAGCCATGCCATGAAAAGGCAGACAAAATAACAGGGGGGAACCTCTCACTGTGTTCAGCCTGGTGCAATTGGCCAGTCTCATTATGGGCTTTTTCAACCTTCCTCTGAAGCAATTGGCATTGGCCATTGTGGGAGTCAAGACCCCAGACTTGGTGGCCCTTTGGCCCAAGCTGCTATAGGGGAGGTGGAGTCTCTCTTCCTCAATGCTGACTTTTATAAATCGATATAAAGACAAAGTAAGCAGGGATCTAACTGAGCTCAAAGCGGCTTCACTCACTGGGAGCTGATATGACTGTTCTAATTATTTGTATTACCTGAGATTAGGGGCCCCTTGTGCTAAGCACTGGACATACCCAGATACAACCCCTGCCTTGACGAGGTTACAGTCTAAATCGACACTGGGTGGATTTATTAGCCCCATTTCACAGGTGGGGAATTGAGTCACAGGGAGATCGAGTGACTTGTTCAAGGTCACACAAGGAGTCTGTGGCAGAAACAGGAGCTGAGGCCTGAACTCTTCAGGCCAGCCCGGTGCCGCAACCACAAGACGGTCCTTCCTGTCTCTAATGACTGCTGGAGATTCAGTGATTGGTTATCACAGCAGTCGCACTGGGGCTGAATTTGTACTGAAATCTCAAGAGAACGCCTAGGAGTCACCTCTCCTCTGTTCCTTTCGTCTTCATCCCTCTCCACCCTGTACTATCTCCTCGTCACTCTGCTCTTATGTGTGAGATCTTTTTTCACCCTTCCCCGTCCCCCCAGGGACTGATGAAAATCCACAAGGAAAAACCCGCCCATTCATCAGCCACATAAAATGCAGGGAGTCTCTGAGGCTGGAGCGTAACAAAGACTACTTGATCTGGGGACTCAGCACCGACTTGTGGCCCAGGAAAGCTGAGTAAGTAGCCTCCTGTGGTTACCCTGCGTTAGTCACTTTCAAGCCGACACGCCCTTAATTAATTACCCTATCAATTTTAGGTACCTATCAGGCCACCATTACTGTACTTTCTGAGTGCCCCACAATATCGAATGTATTTATTCTCACTATGGGAGGCAGGGCAGCATTATTACCCTCATTTAATGGATGGGTAAACTGAGGCAAGGATAGCCTAAGGTCCAGGTCCTCAAAGGTATTGAGGCACCTAACTCCCACTGACTGGCCTTAGGTGACCTCTCCAAAGTATCCAAAGGAAGTTTCTGGAGTTGCTGGGAATTTAATCCAAGTTCGCCTCGTCGTCTAACCCTGGACCACCATTCCTCGCAGGGGCTACCCAACTATTTCACCAGCACAAATCACATTCACAGTGCAATTTCAAGGTCCCTGCATCCAGCCACAGTTGTTCCTAAATCACTTAGGTTTAAACTGGGTGGAAATATATTTAATTAGGGTAGAAACTGCACCTAACAATGAGCTTCATCAACAAAGACGCAGCTCACGGAGGCTAAAAGTTCCATCCTCATGTTGTATATGGAGCATTGCATGCTGGGATCTGTAGTCTCTCTGTAGTCTGAGTGTAAGCTGGCTGTTTGGGGAGGCTAGCCCATTGTCGCCCATTCTCTCAAGTCCGATCCTCGGGGCCCCAAGCCCACCATGGGCGGCGTGCCAGCCACCTGTTCTGGGGAGGCTTGCTCTAGCCAGCCAGCCCTCCTCTGCCCACACCCTGTCTTGGGCACCATGGCCCCAGGACCCCCTGCCCAGGAGCGCCATGTGCTGCGGCCCCTGAGCCCCCAGCCTCAGAGCGCCATACGCTGAGTTCCCCCAGCCCTGAAGCACCACCAGCCCTGGAGCGCCAGGGAGCCCCAGTGCTGCGGGGCCCCTGCACTGGGGGCGCCCATCCGCCTCAAGTCCCGAGCCACAGGCCAGCCCGCACTTGCCTCAGCCCCCTTGGGGAAGAGGAGCAGCCTGCATGGGCTGTGGCCAGGGGGAAGCAACGGGAAGCAGGAGGGGGCTCAGGGCAGAGCATGAGTGGGGCCACGCCTGGCTTTTGGAGGAGACTCAGCCTCCCCTGGCCCTCCATACGCGCTACCTATGCCCTTAGGCAAACCTGGCTGCCCTTGAGGAACTGAGCCAACAAATTGGACACATTCTGTGCTTCACTGCTCACCCTTCTGCCTGTCCGTCCCAGGCTAGCCTACGTCATTGGCAAGGACACCTGGATCGAGAAGTGGCCCAACGAGGATGAATGCCAGGAGCCGGATTTCCAGAATGTCTGCCAGGAATTCCTTGAGTTCTCTGAAGCCATGACCATGTTTGGCTGCCCAACCTAAACTTGGACCCAGCTTTCCCAGCGGCCCCAATGGGACAGTGTGAGCTGAGACGGAGTGTTACACTCAGGTGGAGACATCTCCACTCAGAGTCCCAATGCTGCTGACTCTCGCCACTAGCCCTGTCCTCTTGGGGGTTTCGCTCTCTTCTCTTCTTGTTCTTTCTATATATATAAACGGCTGATTTCTTATCCTGGTCTGCTGTGTGACTTTTTAACAATCTTTACATAGTCTGCAAAATAGCTTTTTAAGTAACGAGCTACTAGGATCATGGGTGCACGAGAAAAAACCTTAAATTAGATTAGGATGGCAAGCATGAATGGGTGGTTAGATTCTCATGGATGGATATTTGGGAGCGAGCCTTCTGTACCTCTGTGTGCCTAGGGTGACCACACATCCTGTTTTGGCTGGGACAGTCCCTTTTTTCAGCCCTGCCCCAGTGGTCCTGACTTTGTCAAAGAAGTGGGGTGTGGAGGACTGTGCAGGGAGGGGGGAGTGGCGATGTCAGTCCTGCACGGGGGGGGAGACAGGACTCATGCAGGGGCAGGCAGGGCTCAGACCCTCCCCCAAAATACAGTAGTCTGCTCTCAGTGAGAGTGCCGCTTTTGACTTCAAGGGGAGCAGGATTAATCTCTTAGTCCCAGATCGCCAAAGGTATTTAGGCACCTAACTGCTATTAAAATCAATGCGAATTAGTCTCCTAAATGCCTATGAGCATCTGGGCCCTAGTCCATTTACTGTTGTAACTTTGGAAGCACTAATGCAAAGTTTGTGAGGTGGCAACAAGAAGTTGCACAAAGTGGCAGATCTCGGAAGCTTGAAACCATTCGATTCCCTCTCCTCCCGCCCCCATTCACTTGGCGAATTTTTCCACGGGGATCCCTTTTATTATTTTTTATTGTGGTAGCATCTAAAAGCCCCAGTCACAGACCATAGACCCTGTGCTGGGAGCTGTATGAATAAAGAACAAAACCACACCCCTGGCCCCAAAGAGCTTCCAGTCTAAACACGTTTCAAACCACGCTGCTTGAACAGAGGATCTAAGGCGGGGCTGAGACTTTGAAGTTTGGAAAGCTCAGTCCATAGGTAACCAAGAGGCAGCTCCCCTACCTCATGATCACATAATTCCTGAGGAGCAGGGTGATACCAGCCCAGTTGGATACGTTACAGAATTCTGTCTAAGCAGCTGCCCAGTTCGCACAAAGCACCAGGTGACAGGGAGTATGACATCACCATGGCTCTTGACCACAGGTTCCCATATCCAGTAGCTGGAGTCAAATTGAATCCTTGTGGATGAAACACCTCGAGAGGCAGGTAACAGCTTTTTGAGGAAACTAATTATGTAACAAGCACGGCCAGGAGTAGCTTTGCAATACTGCAGAACCTGAGAATTATGGACACTTCTGGACATTTCGTAACTCTGAAATGTTTGTAACTCTGAACAAGCCGTCACGGGCTGCTCCTCAGGGCCGACTGCTCAGAACGGGGGCTCACGGCTCTGCAGTGGCGGCCTGGCAAGTGGGGGCGGGGACAGGCAGCTGGTTCTAGCCCCCTGGCTGCAAGGGTGGTGAGTGGGGCACCCTGGGGCACTGCAGTGTCAGTGGGCGCATGGTGCAGGCTGTGGCCCATTAAAGCTGTTTCTCCAGAGCGCAGGGTGCTGGAGCTGTTTCTCCAGAGCGCAGGGTGCAGGCAGGGGCTCCGGCTCCAGCTCTAGCAGCAAACACTCCAGGCCAGGTCTCAGTAGCAGCTCAGGAAGTTTCTTTCCCAGGCTCAGAACTGGCAAGCTTGCCCCCCCCCCCCCACCGCCACCCCTCTCCCCCAGCCGGGGACAGGGAGAGGGGAAAACAGCAGTCACCACCTCCTTCCTACCTGTAAGTGGCTGCCCCACGCCGTGGCAAGTAGCAGGTGGGGGGTGCAGACAGGCAGCCCAGGTGTGCCTACCTTTAAGATGCAAATACAGGCACAGTCCAGTGTTTGCTGCTTTGTTTGTTTTTCCTCAGAATTTTGGGGGCATCTGGCTTTAAACGCCGCGACACCCTTCCGCTTTCCGAGGGACACTCGCAATGTGGCCAGTGGTGCAATCCACGTGCCGCAGTCTGCTAAGACCCGGACTAGGAAAGCCAGGGCCCTTCAACTGAAGCGCATTCTCATGGAGACATCCCTGGCTTCACACCCGGGCTGGCAAACGTCTCGTGCTGCCCTAGGGCCACAGGCAGCTTCTGACAGACTGTCCCCATCCCAAAGGGAAGGGACCTGTCCCCTGAAGGACGTGGGTAGAGGAGAGCTAACACTGCCCCTGCCAAGACCACGTCCAAGAGGAAATGTTGCCCGACTTACAGTTCCTTGCTCACCTCTCCTCGGTACGGACACTGCTTCAGCACTTCCACTCGCTCCACCAGGTACAGCTGCTCCTCCTTCCTCTCGTGAGGAGGATGAAGATGAGGAAGGGGAGGCTTTCCTCCCACCACTCTTCACTGATGCAAGGCAGTGTTCGGTCTGCACATCAGAAGCACCCTACGCCTCCTCCAGGGTCTGAATTTCACGGGTAGCCTGGTCACGCCCCCACCTATGCCCTTCCCACCTCAGTGGGCATTCTGGGACCCATGGGCAGTACACAGTTCTGCTCTAATGCCATTACTGGCACCACGGAGGTAAACAGATGCTCTCCACCAAAATCCACAGCGCCACCAGATGCCCCGGCCAAACAGAATTTGGAGGAGGTGGAACAAATCTTAGATCAGGAGGCAGAAGGTGATACCTGTAACTCCTTCTCGCCAGAGGAGAATGTTATGCCCCCTGCGCCCACTCCTGAGGAAGATCATCAAGAGATGAATGAGGGGGGATTTGATAGCTGCTTTCAACTACCTGAAAGGGGGTTCCAAAGAGGATGGCTCTAGACTGTTCTCAGTGGTAGCTGATGACAGAACAAGGAGTAATGGTCTCAAGTTGCAGTGGGGGAGGTTTAGGTTGGATATTAGGAAAAACTTTTTCACTAGGAGGGTGATGAAGCACTGGAATGCGTTACCTAGGGAGGTGGTGGAATCTCCTTCCTTAGAAGTTTTTAAGGTCAGGCTTGACAAAGCCCTGGCTGGGATGATTTAGTTGCGGGTTGGTCCTGCTTGGAGCAGGGAGTTGGACTAGATGACCTCCTGAGGTCCCTTCCATCTCTGATATTCTATGATTCTTCTCTTCCACAGACTAAACAATCCCAGTTCCCGCCGCTCCTCATAAATCATGTGGTCCAGTCCCCTAAACATTTTTGTTGCCCTCCACTGGATGCTTTCCAATTTTTCCACATCCTTCTTGTCATGTGGGGCCCAAAACTGGACACAGTACTCCAGATGAGGCCTCACCAATGTCGAATAGAGGGGAACGATCACGTCCCTCGATCTGCTGGCAATGCTCTTCCTTGTACAGCCCAAAATGCCGTTAGCCTACTTGGCAACAAGGGCACCCTGTTGACTCATATCCAGCTTCTCGTTCAGTGTAACCCCTAGGTCCTTTTCTGCACAACTGCTGCCTAGCCATTCGGTTCCTAATCTGTAATAGTGCATCGGATTCTTCCATCCTAAGTGCAGAACTCTGCACTTGTCTTTGTTGAACCTCATCAGATTTCTTTTTGCCCAATCCTCTCATTTGTCTAGGTCCCTCTGTATCCAATCTCTGCCCTCCAGCGTATCTACCACTCCTTCCAGTTTAGTGTCATCTGCAAACTTGCTGAGGGTGCAGTCCACACCATCCCCCAGATCGTTATTGAAGATATTGAACAAAACCGGCCCCAGGATCGACCCTTGGGGCACTCCGCTTGATACCGGCCTCCAACTAGACATGGAGCCATTGATCACTACCCATTGAGCCTGATGATCTAGCCAGCTTTCTTTCCACCTTCTAATCCACTTCAGGACTATCTACTTTAGTTCAGGCCTCACACACAAGGCCTCATGTCTTTAGGGTTGCCAGGCGTCCAGTTTTCGACTGGAGTGCCTGGTGGAAAACGGATCCTGGACAAGACCGCTAAAAGTCCGGTTGGCTGCAGCTCCAGAGGGGCAGGCAGGCTCCGTGCCCTGCTCCACACAGCTCCCAGGAAGTGGCCGGCATGTCCCTCCTGCTCCTGGTGGAGGGGCAGCCGGGGAGACTTCATGCGCTGCCCCCGCCCGCGGTCACCACCTCGAGTGCCGACTCTGCAGCTCCCATTGGCCAGGAACTGTGGCCAATTGGAGCTGCGGGAGTCGTGCCTGCAGGTGGGGTAGAACGTGGAGCCGTTTGGCCACCCCTCTGCCTAGGAGCCAGAGGGCCATACTGCCTCTTCCCTGGAGCCGCCTGGTCTTCCTCCATCCCTGGGAAGTGCCGGGGCTGCTTGTGTCAGCGGCACACAGAGCACACACCACAAACCTCCTCCCGTGCCCCAACCCCCTGCCCTAGCTTGGAACCCCCTTGCGCACCCAAACTCCCTACCAGAGCCCTCACCCCACACCCCCTCCTGCACCCCAAACCCTTCATCCCTGGCCCCACCATGCCCCTTCTCTGAGTCCACACCCCCAGCCAGAGCACTCACCCCCCACTGCACCTCAACCCCCTGCCCCAGCCCAGAGCCCCCTCCCACAGCCTGAATGCCTCATTTCTGGCCCCACCCTGGAGCCCGCACCCCCAGCCCAGAACCCATACCCCCTCCCACACCCCAATCACCTGCCCCAGCCTGGTGTCCCCCTCCCTCCCCTGCACACACATACTCCAAACCCCTTGGCCCCAGCCCCACCCCAGAGCTCACACCCCCATCCAGAGCCCTCACCCCCTCCCGCACCCCAACCACCTGCCCCAGCCTGGTGAAAATGAGCGAGTGCGTGAGAGTGGGGGAGAGCAAGCAACGGAGGGGGGGAAAGGAGTGAGTGGGGCAGGGCCTCAGAGAAGAGATGGGGCAAGGGTGTTTGGTTTTCTGCCATTAGAAAATTGGCAACCTTTCCTCCACTTTTTGTCTTTTTATGGGGAGGAAGTTTACCCATCGTCCCGGGAAAGCATAATGCATGGACGGAAGATGACCCAGTGGGCTAAACACTGGGTTTTGTCACCTTACTTTACCACCCATACATTCATGCCCCATCTGTCCCTTAGACTGCACGTTCCCTCTTACGAATGATGGACAAATTTTATTTTCCCATTGTTTTTAGTCCCTTATGGTGGGCTTGGAAATGTT